GTTGCAGGAGAGTACACCAGCCATCACTTTAGTTGGTATAGTACCCCAACTTCACCCGGCGCGTGATTGTTTTTAGTTTCCCATAAGTAGGGTAGGTAGGTAGGTAGGTAGGTAGGGGCACCGCAGTGGCCGGTCAGGTTTTCCCAGAATTTCAGCATGCTGGTTGCTGGCCGCCCCAAGTCCAAGCAAAAAGAATACACAGCTGCTGAGTTGTTTTTTTACACTCTTTTTCCTCTCTCACGTGCATTCGAGGAGGACTGTGACCGGGTTTGCGATGAGACTGAGGGGTTGGTCGGGGTTTATAGTGCTGTAACCGACCGCCTCTCTCATACTACATGTAACACCCACCTCGCGAGCCGATCTCCGAAAGTGGCTCCTGTCCTCCTTCGCAATGTGCATGAGCGATCGCGACCGCGAGGTGGTGCGAGAGGCGGCGCGGGAGCGGATCCGCCCGGTGGAGGAGGCGGGCGGGGGAAGATGATTGATGGAATGGGACTGGGGGAGTGAGCGCGGCTCGCGGTCGGTTGCCGAGTCCTGCCATCCCCCGTGTCGCGGAAGAGCGAGCCGGCTCGGGTTCGAGTTCTGAGGCTGTCCATGCTCGGTGGATCTGTCTTGTCCTCCCCCCGACATGGCACGCCAGAGTGTCCCTTGTAATGCAATAGCTTGTGATGCGAGAAGCGTGCGTTGTGTTCTTGTGTTTTTATCCGCTTTCCCTCTGGCTCGACGAGCGGCTGGGTTCCAACTTTTTGCGGGATATGGTATGGTAGGGTCGCGGCCCAAAGGGTGGGGGGGTATGGTCCTGGCCGCCCAAGACTAGCCCTCGCCAGGGGTGGGGGGGTGTGTATGGTCCCTCGGCCCCTCCCTCTACTGCCGCCGCCGAGCCCGCAGCGCCATGAGGTAGGAGCACGCGCCCGTGTCGCGGAGCTGCTGCAGCTGCTCCACGCTTACCTCCACTCAACCAGGTCTTGCATGCCTCGCAGTAGACCATGCGGAGATCCTCGGGCCGGTTCTGAGGAGTCCCCGCTCCAGTGACCAATGTATTACCGCGGGCATGCCCCATCCGTGGGTGGTCACCCGAGCCGGTGCATAGAAGGCGTGGGCGAGGCCGCTGCGGTCCTACCGGATCGATCTTGTACATTTTTGGTCGCCTCACGCGACCGGCAGTCGTCCGGACGTGCAGAACTCCGAGCCGGGCAAGCCGTTGGGCTACAATGCACAGGCACCACACCGTCCCAACCCTCATCAAAACACCTGCCTGATGATGGTCGCAAAATCCGTTATCAGCGTAAATCGAGCTCGCCAGCATCCTTGCGGCGACGAAGCGCTGCGGGAACATCGCCTGTCAGTTGGTTGCCGGACAAAAGAGATAGCTTCTCCAACACTGTGCATTGGCCCAGCGCCTCAGGGATCGGACCTGTCAGCAGGTTGTTGTGCAGGTAGAGCCTTCTCAGTGCTCTACATGCGCCAAGTGCCTCTGGGATAGAACCTGTCAGTTGGTTGCCGTCCAAACCCAGCTCCTCCAATGCAATACACTTGCCCAGTGCATCAGGGATTGGGCCACTGAGCATGCATGCATCCATGTACAGAACCTGCAGCTGGGCGCCAAATCCGACAGCTCGCTCGAGAACACCCCATGCACCTGAAGCTGTCACCCTGCTTCCTGCCAGCTCCAGCCGAAGGTCAACGAGCGTCAGTGGCAGCGATGAAGCCAGTAGGCGCACCATATCGTCGTCACAACGCGTGCAGTTGCGCAGTGACAACGACAGTTTGCGAAGGCCAGAGCTGGCCACTTTTGCTGCCACCGACTCCATGTCATCTCCCTGCTCAAGCAGAAGCCGCCAAGACGCTGCAGCAAATGCGCCGTGTAGCCGTGCGTTCGTCGCATCATAGGCAGGGCAGCCCTCAAGCACGGGCGCCTCGAGCGCGTCGCCACGTCGTCCAGCCATATAGTTGAGGATGTGCGTCTGATCCCTGGCGTACGATGCCTGGCCGGCTTGGACATGGATCCCAAAACTGCGCCGCATACGATCAGGCGGGAAGGACGCCTGTCGACGTGCCTGTGCTGCTGCCTCGCCTGCATCTGCTGGGCATAGTCCACTGGTGAGGCCGACCGCGCGTAGATTCCGCACAACTGGAAGGCGCGATAAGACCATGTCCCAGGTCACCGGCACACCAGCCTCTTGCGCTGCTGCTTGTGCTGCTTTCCACGCCTCCTTTTTCCTGCCCATATCATATGCCTCGCATGCCTCCGTTGCTGTGTACACTTCGTACTTCTCGTGGTTGAGGCCGAGGAAGATCTCCAGGCAGCACCAGATGCGCGTGTAGGAGACTACCTCCTCGTCGAGCACGGTGACGACACGCCCCTCTGCCAGCTCAATCGCCTTGACAAACGAGCTCTCTGATGGATCGGCAGTCACAGCGCTGTCGAGGTCGTGCTGGTTGTTGGCATACGCGCACACCCAGTATCTGGCATCGTCGCCAAGCTTGTGGTCGGCCGCGTGCTGCTCAAGGCAGCGAAGGAAGAGATAGACCGGCTCACCCCACCAGTGGCTCACAAACCACTGTGGGATCTGCGGCCCGCTTGACACCATCTCGACATAAGAGCAGCGCTGCCGCTCAGTCGCCGGCTTGATGACGTACTTCGTTGCATCATAGAGCGTCACCCGCTCTGGCGTGAGCAGTACGCCCTTGATATTAGTCCACTGCTCAGCCTCGCACCGCCGCTCAATGTGCGCATAGACTGCACGCAGCTGGCGAAGGGTGAGCGCGCGCTCCTCTGTCTTCACAATCGAGCAGCCACCACCACGTGGTCGCAGATCACCAAACAAGTCACCAGGCACCATCTCAGGCAGCGCCGGCACGCTCTGGGCTCGACCTTCGTTGATGAGGCTCAGCCCGCGACGGCGTGCACGTGCACGGTAGAAAGGCTCAAGGTACCGGAGTTAAGAACTCTTAAAATGTGACTGCATCAGAGATGGGACCGCAGCGATTCGTGAAGGGGGAGGCCAGCCTCCCCCAAACCCCCTCCGGTGAGCGAGGGGAGTGCCCCTCATCCGCTACGCTCCTCCCCCTATGCAGTCTTCCGTAAGGGGTTGGCTGCGCCAAAAAGATTCGGGGGCCACCTAGCCGCACTCTCATGTCCACGAGCGGCGTACAATCTCCGGAGTTTCAGGCGAGCATGCCCCACGGGCTGCGAGCCGGCCGCGAGGGCGGCGGCGTCGCGATGGCGGCATGGCGCAAGCCAGCTGCCAGTGGCAGCCTAGCTAGTGGCAACGAGAGTGTCGGCGAGCGGCAGTGACGGCGACGGCGATCGAGCCAGAGCAGCATGGGTCCGTCTGTCTCTCCGACGAACGCCGCCTGCCATCCCAGGGAACCCTCCCACCCGGCACAGTCTTCAGTCTATGGTGGCCGCCTCGATACTGCAGCGGCACGACCATATGAGCAGCACCGACCTGTGACGCAGACTGTCCCATGGAAGCGGTGCGGCAGCGCCAGCGCGTGTGCAGCGCGGCCATCGCGTACCAGCGCAGTCTCGCTCCACGCTGGCTGCCCTGCTCGTTGCGGCTCGTGCCGTCGCTCGCTGGTCCTCGTGCGCGCCGCCGGACCTGTGCGTGTCTGGACGGCCGCGACGATGAGCGCTCCCCCCCGCCACCGCACACACGCGCGTTCGCAGTCAGCGCCTGCCGTAGGGTAGCGGCGGCGCGCGCGGAGCGTCCGAGGGCACCCAGCACCAACGCCTCGGCAACCATTGCCTCAATTCCGCCAACGCCACCCACCGCCACAACGCCGCACTTGCAGCCGTCCACCGTGCGCTCACCAGCGTCACGAGCGACGCCCTGCCAGTTGGCTCGATCCAGCTGGCCGACAAGGGAGACGGGACCCCCGCCTCCAAGGCTGAGCGGAGGGGCTACTACGCCCACGTCAACAAGGGACACATCCCAGACTTGATCCGCTTTGGCTCCACGACCACGTGCTGGGAGTTCAAGTGCTACACTCCGTTCCTCCCCTCCGGCGCAAAGGGCAACGGCTCTGCTCGCTGCGGAGGCGCCGCCTCCCGTGCCGACGGGCACTTCATCGCGCTTGGCAACACTGAGGAGCACCTCTCCGTCGTCGTTCTCGGCCACCCCCAACGGGGTGACCCGGACACGGAGGAGCAGTTGGACCGCGTCAGCGGCGACGGATGGGTGGCAGCGAAGGACGGCGATTACGCTGACGCCCTCACCAAGGGTCACACGGTCATCCTCCTCGTGACCGAGTCGACCGGAGCATTCTCCGCCGACCTCGATCGCGTCCTCCGCCAGCTTGCGAGGACCGCACGCGCCAGTGGGTCCATTGACCACACGCCGTATGGCACCTCTCGCGCGTCCACCCGCTCACACTACACCTTCCACTCCGCCGCCATCTCCGCCGCCATCGTCACCGCCGACGCCCTCACCATTCAGAACTCGGCCGCCGCCCTCGGCTTCGAGCTCACCCTCGACCCTCGCGATCTCGCCCGGCGCTCGTCGGGTCGGCCGCCATCGCGGTCGGCGCCACCACCTCCTCCCGCCCCCCCCGCAGCCACTGCCGCGCGGCTGCCAATGCGACCGACCCCACCCTCCTTCCCCGACCCCGCCCTAAACGCCCCCGACAGCGAAGCCCGCGCCGCGCGCGGCACCCCCACCGACTCTACCTCCGACCCCAGGGCCTAGGCGGCCCGCCATGAAATCTAGCCGTGTGTGCTGGCGTCCGGGTCCCAGCGGGTTTTCACGTAACAAGTACACACAGGGTCTGCGATGAGTACCAAGCCGAAGCCACGGATTCTGGGATCCCGCGTTTGCGTCCCGCTCCGATGCAGACCGGTCGAGGAGCGGGACGCGCTCCCTGCTACTCCTCGCTCTTCTTCCCCTCGGGTCGCAACTCGAGGGATGTCGAGGTGTTACAGTGCCGCACGCGCATGCTGGCCAGCGGATGCGTCGCCATTACTCTGGTTGCCATATTCGCCTCGCTCGCCATTCCTTACCTCTCTGGCGCATTCCGCATCGCGTGTGTCTCTCCGTGCTATGTGCTCGTCTTAGGAGCCTCGCAAGCCAACGCATCGCCAAAGTGGCTGCGCAACTCGACTTGCATCGCGCTCGTCCCGATCCTGCCTGTACTCATAGACTACATCTGCCGCGTAGAAGCGGTGGACATTGACCTGGGAGAAGACGACAAGGATACGTGGCTCGAGGAGCAGCTCGAGGACGACCTCGAGGAGCATGCGGTCAACCATACGGATCTGCACCTACTCGAGGCGTCGATGCTGGCCGACCTGCTGCTCATCTGCGGTTCCTTCGTCCTCGCCGAAGCATCGCAGCGCCTCGCACGGGAGCGCCTCGGCAGCGCTGGAGCCCAGCCTGCATGGATCTCCTCCCCGTTTGGGTTCCGCAGTGTCTCCACCTCATCCTCAGAGCGACTCTCGGACCGTGCGTCCGATGACGATGGCGCCGCGGCCTCCCGCTCCTCGCCTGCCACGGTGCGCCGCGGGGGAGTTCCTCCACTTGCCAAGCTGCAGCCACTCACCGGCCATCCGTCGCAGCCCTGCGTGACGCCGGCTACTCGATGGCTGCCGACGGCAGCTCGCCGAGCGCGATGGCGCGAGGGGGCTGCGCGATTCGCCTTCTCGCCGCGACACGACGTCCGGGGCCGGCTAAGGCTCCCCGCAGGCCGCCTTCGCTCGCCACTTGCACTTTCCTCGCCCACGCGCACGCCGGGAAAGCCTTCGCCACCGCCAAGATGACGCCCTTGTGTGTCTCTCTGAGCTTTGCGTTGGCAGAAATCGCACACAATACCAAAACCTTCGTCAATACACCACTATTTTAAGAATCGCGAGGAGTGTGCGCCACTCTGCTGGGTCGCGGCGACCATCTTCAGCGTCACCTTCCCTCGGCGCCACCTCCGCCAGCCTCATCCTCTGCGACGGTGTCCCCCTCCGTCGCGGCGGCTGCCTGCGGCGCTACTGCTATGCTGCCCAACGAGGGCGGTCTGGTCCCGTCGGGGCGCGCGCCCATATCGAGCCGCGCCATCGCCGAGGCGACCAGCCAGGGCTTCTGCCGGTCCTCGACGGCGTCTCCGTCGGCAGCAGTGAGCGAGTCGGTCGGCGGCGGGTGCAGCTCCTCGAGCGACGTGGAGAAGACGCTGCCGATCGCGGCGCCCTGCCCGGACGTGGCCGCCAGCACCGGGTCCTGCGTGTCGCCTACAGGAAGGTTCCAGGAAAGGTCCAGGAAAGGTCCAGGAAAGGTCCAGGAAGAGGGTCCTGCGTGTCACCTCCGCCCGACGGGTCGCTCTCTGCGTCCGCGTCGAAGACCTCGAAGCCGCCGCTCGACACGGGGTGCTCCAGCCCGAGCAGCGAGGCCTATGGGGTGTGTCGTGGACGTGTCGTGGACGTGTCTCGGACGCCGGGGCGGCCCAGCCCCAGGGAGAGGAAGGCCGCCGGTCGCTCCGCCGCCGGCGGCTGCCGCGGCGGCGGCGGCGGCTTTGCGCGGTATGGCGCCGGCTCGAAGCCGGGCTCGTGTATTGCGAGCAGCACCTGGTCGGGGGGAGGGGGGGGGGTTTTAGGGGGCGGGGCGTGGGGGGGGGGGCCGGAGGTCCTTGCTTTGGACGGGCACGTCAGCCTTTCGCGCGGCGTGCGGCGTGCGGCGTGGGTCGGGTGTTTCGGGGGTCGGGAGTTTGGGGGGGGGTCGGCGTTGTGGTGGATTGGGGGTGGAAGGGCTGAGGCACATCGCGGTCGCTGTCGGCGCGCAACGCCTCCGCCATCCGCGCGACGAGCGGGTGGCTAGCGAGCTCGGCGCTCGGCAGCAGCAGCTCCTTTGTCAGCCGCGCGACGAGCAGCCGCACCTGGCGCGTCGCGGACGCGTCTCGAGGATGCGTCCCCCGACGGTGCTGCCTCTCGGCTGCCTCCTCTCGGCTGCCTCTCGGCTGCCTCTCGGCTGTCTCCCGGCTGTCTCCCGGCTGCCTCCCGGCTGCCTCTCGGCTGCCTCCCGGCTGCAGCCCGGATCCTCGGCGTGCTCTCGTCTCCGGCGTCTCGGCTAGCGCCGCGCGTCTCGGCTAGCGCACGCGGCCCTCCGCGAGGGTGGCGCCATATCTCGCCCATATCTCGCCCATATCTCGCCCATATCTCGCCCATATCTCGATGCACGTTTGGCACGCGGTCCTCCGCGAGCGTGGCGAGCTCGGCGAGCAGATGCTCCCTCGTCAGCTGCGGCGGCAAGTCCGCCACCAGCGAGGTGCAGATCTGCACACAGTTCGCGCGCCTGCCCACGCCCGCAGCGGGGGGTGAAAGAGACGGGGTCTGCACAGCGACGGCACGGGGCCTGCAACGCTGCTGGCGCGCCGGTGGCACGAGGCGGACGAGGCCATGTTGCAGACCATCCGCAGGAACGCGGCGAGCGGCGAGGCATCGGCGAGGGGCCTGTCCGCGAAGGAGCCCCTCATTCCCCCCCCCCCCCCCTTTACTAGGTGCGGCGAAAGCGGCGGCGAGCGGCCTCGGCTCGTCGGCAAACAGAGAGGCGAGCAGCGCGCCGACCTGTTCACAGCCAGCCCTGTGAAGCGAGGCTGCGTCGCGGCGGCGCCGCGCGGGCGGGGGAAAGGGGGGGGGGCTGTCTTTCCTTGTGCGTGCGTGTGGGTCGAGCGACCACAGGGAGTGGCACACACACCGACATTGACTCGACGAGTGATGGACATCAGCGAGACCCAGCCACACAGTCTCACACACACACGCGCGCGCGCGACACGAGGACGGGGGCGAGCTCTCAGGGGGCGCGCCAAGGAGAGGAGAGGAGAGGAGAGGAGAGGAGAGGAGCAGGAGCAGGAGAGGGGGAAAAAAAAAGGAGGACGGGGGCCGAGCTCTCAGGGGCGGCGCCAACCTTTGCCATCGCCGCGATCCGAACCTAAGGGAAGGTAAGGCAAACCTCTCCACACACACGAGGTAGTGGGGCAAGGGGGGGGCGACCCTCGCGTCTCCACGTCTAACGACAGGAGCCCCACGGCATTCAAAGTGCAAGGCCCAGTGCGCGTGGGTGAGCGGTGTGTGTGATGCGAACCTCGGCCACGGAGTCAGTGGCGAGATATGGGGAGATATGGGGAGATATGGGGAGATATGGGGAGATGCGAACCTCGGCCACCGAGTCAGTGGCGAGATATGGGGAGATATGGGGAGATATGGGGAGATGCGAACCTCGGCCACCGAGTCCGTGGCGAGATATGGGGAGATATGGGGAGATATGGGGAGATATGGGGAGATGCGAACCTCGGCCACCGAGTCCGTGGCGAGATATGGGGAGATATGGGGAGATATGGGGAGATGCGAACCTCGGCCACCGAGTCCGTGGCGAGGTCGAGCGCGAGCGGGACGAGCGACTCGACGGCCGCCTGGCGCAGGAGGAGCGAGCTAGGCCGAGCTTGTCCGAGCTTGTCCGAGATTGTGTCCGAGATTGTCCGAGCTTGTCCGCCTCGCGCGGGAAGAGCGGGCCGATGTCCGCGAGCTGCAGCGCCAGCGTGTGCCGGAACCTCCAGTTGTCTGTCTCGGCCCGCATCTCGACGATGGCGCCGAGGTACTTGTGGCGCGCTTCGGGCGAGAGGGCGCGCAGGAAGGGCGCGATCGACGCGACCACGCCAACCTTGACCTCGTCGAGGTCCTTGAGAAAGTAGTCGAACGTCGGAACCAGCTCCGACTCGGTGAGCCCGCTGCCGAGGATGGACGCCTGGTTGCGGCCGACTCGAGCTCGGGCCCTCTCCGGCTCGGTGAGCCATCTCGGCGGATCTCGGAGGATCTCGGCGGATCTCGGCGAATCTCGGCGGATCTCGGAGGATCTCGGCGGATCTCGCCAGCTCGTGCATGGCGCACGACAGCGTGCGCCGGACCTTCCACTGCATGTTTGTCGTCAGGGTGCGGAACGCCTGGGGAAACAGGCGGGGGGGGGGGGGGGGGTCAAGGTGAACCTCCGGGTTGGGGTTTGGGTTTTGGGGGGGGATGGGGGGGGGGCTTTCCAGGGGTTGGGTTGGGGGAAAAGGGTTTGGCCCCTTTCCCGGGTTGGGGTTGGGGGTTGGGGTCTGGGCTTCGGGGT